ACCAAGGAGGCTCATGAGGAAAAGATCGAACCAGGTCGTGATGTCTTCCAGGCACCTGTTGAGGAGATCAACCAGAACCTCGGAGCAGACTTGGATGCTACAGGCCCCAACGCACCCGCCGATGCCAAAGAAAAGGAGAAGGAGAAGCAAGAGGCGAAGAAAAATGCCGAAAAGGAGCTGGAAGAGTTGGGCGATAAAGTTGGTCCTTTGATGCCTAGCGATCTTGCCAAGGTCGGTTCGGAAAGAGAGGAAAAGAAGGTTGCCGCTCCTCCTCCAGAGGCACAACCAGCACCCAAGGAGAGAAACAAAGGTAGTAGCGAGGTCGAGGTGGACCCTACGGCTGTCGAACCTGTTTCTCCCAAGCCTGACTCGGAGAAGAAAGAGGAGAAGAAGGAGGAGAAGAAGGAGAAGGAGAAGGAGGAGAAAAAGGAGGAGAAAAAGGAGGAGAAGAAAGAGGAGAAAAAGGAGGAGAAGAAAGAAGAGAAAAGCTAGAGTATGGACTCTATTATCCAAGACTTTGGACCGTACGAGACGAACACCCTTAGTGTGGATTTGGGGAGATTTGATTCAGCACCCAACTCGATTGTTGGAGACATTCCTTTCTTTTTATTATCTTATTGATCGTTTGAACTTGTGAACTATATGCTTCTCATCTTCTTCCATTTGAAATCTCAATGCATTTCAAAACCCTAATCAACGTGATCTTGTACTCAAATTCAAAGTGATATATAGTGCCAAGTAATGGGAGTCCAAAGTGAAGAGTTTATAAAGATGCACAACCCTCTCGAGATCGTTGATCTGGACCCAAGTGGGTAGGTCTGGTGATTTTGTTAACGCCGTGACAGTGAATATCATCCTAATAGCCACTGAGAACCGTAGAGATACCCAGTGCTAGTGAACTAAGTAGGGATGTCAGTCAAGGGTATGTCGTGATAAAAGGGTCAGGCTTACTAGTGTACAGTGTACATAGGGTGGAGACTATTGAGCCAGAAATAGCTGGACACAGGAGCATAACCTGCAACTTGGGTGGTAGTTGTGGGCGTGCCATTTGCATACGGGTCGGCGTATCCCGTGACGTTGACATAGCCCAATTCCTTGTCATTGTTCATTAAAGTATTGAAGACTTTGGAAGTGTCGTAGATAATGGCCTCGCTCCCGCGGTGAGTTTGCATAAACTTTTTGGCACGTTGAGCGAGCTGCTTGTTGTAGTCCTTGACGGCATCGCTGACTCCATTTCGAACAGACGACCCTTGGACGTAAAAGAGCGGTGCGCGCTCAATCGGTGGAACTGTGAGCAAGAGGAAAGACCGAGCTCCAGCGTTATACATGGTCTCGAGTTGGGCAAAGTAGGTATCCATGATGGTGCTATGGAAGCCAGCTTGCGTGACATTCGTCTGTGATAATATAATCAAACAAAACCCAAATTTACTTTGGGATACCTACCCATCCCCAAGAGTTTCCAACATCGTTGATACCAATCCAGACAGCGAA